TGAATCGGGACTGCGCATAGGTTTTGGTTTTTGATGTGTTCACCTCTAGGCCGATCTCGAAGGCCTGTCGATTGATGCGGTCAACGATTGCTTGGAGGTTATACATGTCCTCATCCGCAAATTCTAAGTCGGTGAGCTTGAGTCGGTGGCACTGGTACGACGTCTCATTTATCGTTCTCCGTTTCCTCTCCGACGCTACTTTAAACTTTGCAATCTTTCTTCTACTCCTCCCAGATGGGCAGCCAAAACAGGTGTTTGGTTAGTAATTGCACGAACTGAGACAGAATACTTCGACTTCTAACTTTTTCAAAAGAGACCAAAATCTCTGAACGACAGGCCAGATTCCGATTTCGTCTTAGTTATATCGATCAAATTTTTGCGTTCTGCATATCCTCGAGTTTCGCTGCATATGCCATCCACTAACTGTAGCCGTCTTTCTTTGTCTAAAAGGAGCTTTTGAATCAGTCGGCTGTGAAACCGTATTGGCTTCGCCCCTTCGATAAACAATGCCGTCACCGGAAACGGTACTCGTCAAGGGTGCTCCTATCTCGCTATACTTATTCAGTTTCGTCTTAGACGAAATCGTAGAGAAAGTCTTAGTGGTCTCCAAAATGTTGGCATGGAATGGGCAGCTGATGAGAAGCCAACGACATCGTCTCTCTATTCGAACGTATGGAAGACGCACAAAGTACACGTGACAGGCTAACGCATTCTGTTACTCCTTTCATTATTCGTTTCGTACCTGCTAAGTAGTAAGTGGTACTGCAAATTAACTGTGTGACAAATGACGGGAACGCAGCTAAGGAGATGATAACTCACTTTCAATAAGTCAGCGAAGTACGCAGGCCTGAAACACCTTTGGCGTCGACGTGAAATTCTACTAGGGTTAACTGGTTGTGTAGGCCGTGACATTGTGCGGTCTGTTCTGTTTGACAGTTGTGAAACCTTGGGTTTGCGTCTAGAAGGCATCCATCGACTAAAGATTTTGACAGTCTGTTTGTGTAGTCCGACGCACATGGGAATGATTTCATGGAAAATTCTGTTCGTATCATGCAGTGGACACTTATTACGCATGTCGTGCTACCATCTCCCGCATTACGCTTCGTTTGCAGTTGCCACTCTTATTCCGAGAAAATTGCATAGAGGTCAGTAGTGGATATGAAGAAATGCACCGAACGAGTAGTTATCTCCCGTCTTCCAGATCGGAGTCTAAAGGACTATATAAGGAAATGGAAACACAAAAGTTCAGGGCCAAGAACTGTCAGCAGTTGCGCCCTTGTCATTTTGTCAGGTCGAAAGTGATATCACATTTATACTGTGTACTCTGCGTTGGTCGTAGATATTCACGTGTTCCTAAAAACTGACCTGCTCCCCATCCACCTTATGCATTTCAATTTAATTTCTGTTGTTTTGTGAGTTCAACATTGATCAATGTTTTTGCCGTACGATGATGTCAAAGTGAACAACCTTTGTTTGTAACAATTGATTCCTAATCGATTGTATGTGTGGCTCGTGCATCAAAAATTGTCATGGTGATGTATTTCCTTGTGATAATAACTGTTTTAGCTCTACCACCTGCTTTGGTAGTTGTTTGCTTCTCTTCATTCACCATCTTTCATTTGCTTTGACTCTTTTTTCAGGGTGAACCTCCAGTCCTAGAAACTAAAGATGTTCATTTGCTGGAGCAGATCAGCGGACGTCGTAGCGCGTCCTTATCCCAGTCGTTGGTCGCATCCGAAACAAGCCAACTCACGTCGAAATCGGGTTCAAATGAAATGGACCTGGATAAATGTGACGACCAGATTCATAAACCGGTATGTTGTACCTGTTCGATTTTTTTCAAACTGTGGTCCCTACCAATTTCCATTTAACTCATGGTAATACGATAAATAGTTCATGCAAGTAAAAATGCAAACGTAACACTGTTGCACGATTCAAGGCTAACTCAGGCCAGAAAGTATGTGCTTACGTTATGACCCATAACATTCTTTTTCATCAGTTTTAGATCGCGTTCATTGGAAAATTTAACAAGCTAATGATTCCAGCCATCTGACAATAGTGGTACTTTATTGCGAGTAACAGGCCAAAAGGGTGTAGGTACCGGTTCTTCAAACGAATGAGATAATTCTGTTAAAACGGTGATGAACAGCGTCAGCTTAGATCACTCGTGATGAGGAAAAAGTGGAGAATTCAGTGGATTATCGGTTAAACGACTAAAGTATATTGGCTATCACTTGGCGATGGTAGATGGTTACTGGCTGTAGATTCCATGGTCTTTGATATCTTCATATCTTCTTGCATGGACAGAATATTCCCTGTTTATTAGCCACCACTAAAGACGAAGGATCACCTTTCCACCCCTACCCCCTCCCCACAACCTAACGCTTAAGGTCACAGCATACTTAAGATTTTGACCCGGTTACGGTCCACCGATTTGATTGACTTTGTGGAAGTAAAATTGTGCCTGTCATGCTGAGACCAACACAGTGATTTTGAATAGGTTTATCAAGGAGTGTCATTTAAAAGTGCTAACTGAGCAACCACATATTTTTGAAAATGCTGCAGTCCACGGACGGGTGAGGTCATGTTGGCACTTGGGCATTCAGTTAAACCTCTTCGATCATATTAGTTTATTTCTTAATCCGAATCTGGAGGCTTTCAGTGTGCTTAAACGAACAAACAATTATCAGAACCTTCCGGAACATTGGCTTAGTGTCTTTATGCATGCATGCATGTATGTACATTAACCATTGGTAAGATTTCTTCCATTTCGGGCGCAGCATTCAGTAGACACAATTTTACTTATACTGAGGGTCCGGACAGTTATTCATTTGCTATCTATACTGTTAAAAATGGAAGAGATGTTTGTTTGAAAAAAAATTTCTCGTGTGATAGTAGGGAATTCTGACGTGACTCCTCCCGGAATGCTAAATCTCCTCACCGAACTGTAACTTCATTCATCCGGTGACCTTTACGTTGAGAGGGTGTCAGAAATGGGTGTTTATGTTATCCAATGGCTGCTGTGCAACTGAACCCCCGTAGTCGAATCCAGGTGACACAGCCATCTAGTCTGACATGCTAGTATTGTGAGTAGTATGTTTGGAACGTACAAGGGATCGTGATTGACCGTTTCAACGGTCAAAAATGGACTTCTTAGAGCGAATTACTTTGTTCAAAGTGGTAACTGCAGGAACTGCGCATCCACTGTCGGACCGTTCCCCTAATTGTCCTGTTTGCTTGTGGAACTTCTAAGGACCTGTTGTAAATGAGACATTTTGTTGTATGTATACCAATTTACCGATACCGTTGTTCACAGTAAATAACTATCCTCCTGCCGGCACTGCCTTTTGGACGTAACCAATTTCGAGAGCTGGCTGCTGTGATTAACCGAAATGAGACGATGACTTTTAGCGTTGTACACGTCTTTTTCGCATACCGTGGTGGTGACATATCAGAATACGCGGCCAGCGCTACTCACACAACTCCATAGGCCATGGAGAATAGAACGTTGTTAGATGTCTGGGTCTCTGACTACGGGCGCGAAGAAATGTTCCGATCTTCTGCCAAACACGAAATGACGCAAAATTGAAACAAAAACAATATCACGCCAAATTGTCTAGAGGGCTTTGAAATGCAAGATGTTTAGATCGGAAGCAGACAATTTTTCCTGATAGTCAGAAGAGAGTGGGCATCTTAATTTCACTAATCAGCAGGAATTCAGTAACCAAGTTTCCCTTCGTAGACCACGTCCGGTGGGGTAACAGTAATCGTAACTTTTGATACAACCTGTAGATCAGTCTTTAAAAATGCCCTTCGCTTTTCGTGACATTTTGTACCCTAATTAGTTCCTCTTTTATTCATTTCAGTCGTCAATTCCTGTGACCACCGCTTCTCCTGAGCGTTCGGGAACGAAAAATCCTTGTAAGTATTTTTATTGCCTTGTGTGCATATCGAACTCGTGCGACACAGTGATGACTGTCAGATCTCCTTTCCCCGATGCTAACGTTTTGAGGCTCAATCACGAGAATGAAGCTGGTATTACCCCATAACAAACGTAGGCATATCTGTAATGCTGACGCTTCTATTAATTGAATGCCTTATAAAAGTAAAATGTCTCCATTTCGACGAATCCTGAGCTGAAAAATCTGAAAAATTTATTTGTATGAAGGGCTCATAGATAAGGAACGGAAATTGTAATTTCATTTTGGCAATACCCTATGTTGCCTCTTGCATTTTCGAGCGCTTGGATCACCACATTGACCATAAAATCACACTTGTCAGTTCTCTCCAATACCTGCCTCATTCCGGCAATTGTCTAGGTAGATAACCTAACTTTATCTTTCACACCCAGGAAATTTTCTGAATTATATTCAGGTTGGGATTATCGGTCATTGAACTCGATTCGGAAAATGTGTAAATGTGAGAAAACAATGTATGATGAAACCGAAAATCTTCGTTAGATATGAAAGTAAGCGATACTTAGACAAAGTACTGCTTTTTGCGATTGCGTTTCGAGGATGGTAGTTGCCAAACTTCTGCTTGATCAATGCAGCATACCTAGCCCTGTCCAAAGGACCACCTACGTGGGCGCTCAGTAAGCTTCAGCTCGGCTTTACTTGTTTATCAAAAACTTATCTAGTTCATCCTGTTCGGGAATGGTGACACTGCAAAACGAGCCGAACACCCCAAAATTCATATCAAAGGATCTTTTATCGGCCTGTTTACTTTGCCTCTCATGTAAAATAGTATGCTATTTGGAATACTTCGACTGATCAGAATAACCATCCTAGTGATACATTGTGAACTTCCAGACTGCTTTACTTTTAAACTACTACAAATTTTATCGCGCCAGTTCAAAGGGTGAAACACGAGACTTAAGAACACTTCGGTGGGAGTCTCAGTTTAAAATAAATGCTCTTTACCCATAGGTATCGGTATACTGGTATCACATTAGAAGCTGAGGTATGATCCTCAGTTGAGATGAAGTTGCACAAGCTCAATCAATGCCCCGTAGTGTTCCGCAAACACTCACTTCGAACCGATACTCTTTTTTTCATAGCTCCCAATATGGCTACTTGGAATATCTCTTCGCCTGTTCAACCACAACGTCCAATGAGCACCTCTCCAACTCTGTCCGTTTCCCCAACAATCGAATTGCATTCGACAAACATGGGACCGGACATGGACAAATTAACTGCGTTCCACGAGGCTGTAGTCAACGGCACCACCGGTTGGCCTGTGAATCAATTGATACGTCTTCACGCGGAATTCTGTGCCGTCCTGTCGGTCAATCAGGCTAACCCTGATCATCTCCTCATGGTGAGTTTTTGCTTCGACCATCAAGCATTGTCACATATGCATTCAATCTCTGTGTTTCCGCTTGATATATGACCATTTTGTTAGATAGAAAGTGTTGTGGAACTGCCTGAGAAATACAGTAAATTGGTCACCGCCATACATCACAGAGCTAATCTTCCCACATACCATGATGCAACGTATTGCGTATTGCATACCTGAGAATTTGTTTGTTAATTACGATCTTACCGTTCTTCCACGGAGTTTTCAGAGAACTGAAATAAAATATTATCCTAAAAATCTCAAATATGGATCATTATTACCTTAAATCCCAGATTACGATTAAATCCTTGTAGTCGAGAATAATCTACATTGACGTATGTCATGTGTTATCTTTGATCAATGATTCGACACCGGATAACATGGCGCTCATATTCCAAATCACCTTTCACTCAATTCTAGTTTATTTGCTTTCTGTATCTTGGCCCTGGTCGCAGTTTCACCTCTCTCATTGGTTGACCCAAGGTGCAACCGAAGAACAGTAACCCAAAGCTGCACATAGCAATCTATACTATACTATAGCGAACTGTGGGCCCGTGGTTTTTCTCTGCTATCCACGATCGATGATAGGAAGCCCAACTTTCGTCTGAATGCATCACTTAGGTTGATTCGATACCTCGATCCCCAGTACTCAGGACTTGAGTCCACTCACGATTATCGACTACCCAATGGAGACGGATGATTAACAGTAGACCATCTGCGGATATCCTATTTAGGGGTAATTCACGTGATATAAATTAATCTTAGCTGCAAATCAGTGTTCAGAAATGAATATGCGGTTTTAGCGCGTTTTTTTCTATGTGAAACTTCCTAGTCAAACACGGAGCAAAATGAAATCCTTCTTCTATCGGATTTTCTTCCTCTCTCCTCATTTCAGGAATTTGAACGTGTGTTTAAAACGTACGTCAAGCGGAATCTCACTGTGGAGTTGCCGGTTTAAGCCTACAGATATCCAGCTTTTTCCATTCTAATATCTCAGTGAAGCTTTTTCTCTTGGTCCCCCTCCCCGTTTTTCACGAGCCACAATTGCTCGGCAAAACGAACCCTCATAAACTAAATACCCGGGCACTTGCCGTGGCTGTTGTGTGTGTGTATGTGACTGATACAAATCAGCCTTTCCACTTCCATCTCTAGGCATTTTTGGTGTACCAACCTCAGGTCCACTACAGTCCTCGCTATTTGCTATCGGTCTCTTGATTAATTGTTTCTTTTTTTTCTATATGTATATTTATGTTTGTACGTGTATGGCAGCACCCTTTATAGGAATGTTAACTTTTCCTGTTTCCATATATCAAGTTACCCCGCCCCGCCCTGCCCCCATCTTCACTTTCGAATCCGACACTACCGCCTGCCGGTCGTGCACCTTAATACGTGTAGTGTGATTGAGGATTTTTTCACTGAAAGATATAGGCTGTTCCGTTCTTTTACAATACATCGATATTCCAATTAACATTGATTATAACCTTTTCGGGACACCTTATGTTGCGCGGCAGCAGGTTGTCGTGCTCCAAGAGAATAAGGACACAAAAGTAATTGTTGAGCCTCAAAGTCAATTTCCGCTGCCATACGGCATCACCATCTATAGTATCCGTCTAAATTTAAATCAGCCTTCCAGGGATTCTTTGTTTTATTGACATATTGCGGTCCATTTGTTCCAAGGTGTTTTACTATTCTAACCACATGACACACATAGTTGCGTAAGTATATCGAGTAAGAATGAACATTATGCACTAAAGTGCTCATTTTTGATGCATTTGGATCCCCTCTAACGGTTGTTCTCGCTCATGATGAATCCCTCGAATCAATGTGGCGCTATTCTGTTGCCTAGATTTAAGTAAACGATCACAACGAGGCTGCACCTTGACGTGGTGTGATGGCTTGCGCA